TAAAACAAAACGTGAATCCCTTTGATATAATAATGCCAAAAGGCAGGGACTATTCCTCATCACCAAACGAGAACCAAAGTGAACGAGTCCAATGAAGGGCATAATATATTTACTCGAAAAAGCAGTGTTTGAACATTTGCTAGTCAATATTTCTTTCCAAAATCAGTCCCTGTGCAAAAGTGATGCTTGTTTCGCATTGTATCGCTTGTCTGTCGAGATACTTGAACCATTTGCACATTACAACAGCATTTAAATTGATTGCATTAGGATTCGATTTATCTTCATAAAATTTCACATTTTGTTTTTAGTAAATAATCGAAAGAGAAAGAACCCGATTCCAATTTGAAACTGACACATTATATCGCGTTTGAATGGATTTTCAGTCCGTTGGCATAATTTTTGATCAACCACTTTACATGCACATTTATTTTACCACTTATGTTCAGTAGTTTCTTCTTTTTAAATAATGCCTATGCATTTTCCAGCTCATGAACAACATAATAAAAAATGAATTGGAATATGGCACCATAATTTTTCTTGTGTCAGTATCCATTCCAGGCGCCATGTTGTCTCAGTTAATATCGAATTTTTGTTTAACCATGATAAAACATTCATTTGATGAATGGAAACGGCCAGATTCTATCGTTTTGACATAATTTCATTTTCACTCTGACAGATTTGCAGTCCGCTTTGTTCATGTACAACAACTCTTGTTGCGATTACTTTTTTTCTCATTTTGTTTTGCTTCAATCAATACGACACCAAACTTCTTTTTTTTGGTTTGGACAGTGACAAAAGCATGTGCAAAAATATTTGTAATTTTATTTCTCGCCTTATCTTTTGAGCGTGTCTTGTTTATTTTCTCCCAATTCTATTTATGATGAATGATCATGAATCATTCACAAGGAAATTGTAATTTTGATTAAATATATTTTTAGTAACGGAAGCGTTCATACACATCGTTTTGAGCATCGTCGTTCTTATGTAACGTTGAACAAAACCTACACTCAACTTGTTCACCATCCAATTACAAAATTATATTGAATATGATGCACGTCCATTCAATCATTGTGCTAATATGCTGAACTGGTACCGCTGATGCTATTGCTGTTGATGTTTTCAATTTCTTTCATTCTGTTTCATATTCGCTTTCTTATGTCCGTATAATTCCCAAAGGCGATACCATACCCGAATTGAATAACAAATAGAAACAAGAAAAAATGGAATCATTTTCACCGGAAATTGAAATGCCATGAAAGTATTACATCGATTATAGTGTGTCGTCGAAAACAACTGATATTTCCCAGTTTGTCATTGATTAATACTTAAGTTAGCATTCTTCGATTTGTAATTCAATTGAATTCTTAAAGAAGAACTGTCCATATTAAATTGCATTTAATTTATACGATCGAATCGATTTTACAAACAAATACACTTGCCATAAAATAAGTTGATTGCTGTTCGAATGAACGTCGTATCAAATGGGAAACTAGCACAATTGTTTTTTAATCAAATCCACTAAACTGCCATATTTGCATTACACTTGTCATCAGTCGACACATGGATCTTTATGATATACTAAACCTGTATTATGTTTCGATTTCTCTCGTAAATGGCAACAATGTAATAAGCAATATCTGACATTTGGTCACCCACTTTCAATGAGTAATAGAAAAAAGCAGTGTATTGCTCGGCGCTGCTGCCATCCACAGCATATTAAAATATCTTGCTGAGAATGGGTCGTCCGTCGCATGCGAATGTACGTAGCAGTTTATACATCACAGCGAACAAGAATGCATGCATTGTTCTCTTCACGATTATGTGACTTAAAACATTCAAACGATTGTATAGAGAACAATGCATGTATTGTTGTTCGCTGTGATGTAAAAACAGCTACGTACCTTCGCATGCGACGGACGACGCATTCTCAGCAAGATATTTTAATATGCTGTGAATGGCAGCAACGCTGAGCAAAACTCTGGAAAAAAAGTTCTCATTTTATATGGAAAATTTTCTTGGAAAAAAAATAATTACACACAAGTTTAGTTATATCACTCTGTTTTTTTTGTATAGCCTCACAAGTAACGATTTCTTCAAATTTTGAATTATAAAAGCATATTTGAGCTGAAGTATCATGGTGAAATGTCCGAAATTGATTAAAAATGTATAGCAGCTAAAAGCTGGTGCTATCATGGTGGTGTTGTTGGACTACTCAAATTTTAATTAATTATTGATAAGTGTATTTTACACAATTTGAAAGCAAAATGTTCGATTTACCATGATCAATTTTATTGTGTATTATATGTGCATTAAATAGTTTACACCAACAATTCATAGCTGCTGAAATTAAATAGTTTATTCTAAACAAATTAAAAATACCTCAATGCCGTTAAACGAGTCAGCTATTGTGAGTGAAACGAGTTTTACATACATAAAACCGATATCTTTTTGGTTCAACGAGTTTTAATTGAAAACGGGCTTATTATCAAAATTGAATAAAATGCTTCGGCGGTAATAAATTATGCTGGCGAATGTAAAAAATTTAAAATTACTAATCAATTATTCAGCCAAATGTTCTGTGTGAGTGGGATTAACACGTTTCAATTTGTCTGTTATATTATCGATTTGATGCAGCAACCCACGCTCCATTCATAATGCAAGCGCATTCAAATGTGAAAAGAGATTTGCAAAAGTAAAAGAGAGAGAGAGAAATTGTAATGGCCAATAAAATTTCAACGGATAAAATTAAATGGGATAAAATGTGAACCGGAAAACGGCTAATGGTAAATTTATTGTTTCAAAGTTAAAGTCATTCACTTGGAAAAATAAACTTTCGACAATGTTTTATGAACGCCCGCCAATTTTAAGATTGTATTTTATTTACAAAACATGTTGTGTTTTAAATGCCCACTTTCGGCAAAGCGATAACTCGACAGAACGCCGTAATTTGTTTTGGCTTTCAATGAAGAAGTTTATTGATGTGGATGTAAGAAGGCGTTTTGTTTGTGCGCTAATTTATCAATTTTCGACATTGTAATTCGTTGTATAAATTAATTGAGTGTGTAATACCCGCTAGAATCGTCGACATTGCTTGAATTATGTTTGCTTTATCGTGTGGCCACATTTTTTGACGATCTTCCAAAATCCATTGAAATACGACACATACTGCTAATGGTTTTCATCGTTCATTGACAGCCCATAAATTAAGGAGGACCAATAACCGAGACACTTTCACATTTGTGTGTGTGTGTGTACATACGCATTTCTCCAAAGATGAACGATTAATTATATTCTTTATCAGAACTCCCATCCTATGCGACCACTGAACAGCACCTTACTTGGTGTTTTTTTTCCTGGTCCTATCCACTATCAATCGTTTATCGTAAATCGAGGAACACCAACGCAAAAGGATCATTTCTTTAAATGCGAGAAAAGCCACGTACGTCGTAGTTTGTACGTCTGTTGCCTGATGCATCTCAATTACTCTATTATTTTCCCATTAATCAATTAATGGTGAGGACGTAATTACATTTCAAACACTATAATTATCACACAATCGACTGATTGACTAGAACCCACCATCGTTTTCGATTACATGGCAAACACAAATCAGCTTGGGGTACAGTCAATACATGAACAAAAATTACCAAGCTAAATGGCATTTACATAACATGCTAGAGACATTTTCTTTTATCGCAAGGTTTGTGCATTTCATTTGATGATGATTTGTCTTATGCATTCTATATATTAGAAATTTTATTGGGACATAAATAGACGCAGGATAAAAAGTTTAGCACATACGATTCGCATTCGTTTGACCGTAAAATGCGTACATACGTCAGCGATATTCTCGAGAGTAAAACTGTGAGAAAATTAAAGCGGGCGAAATTGTAGAATCGACTTTAATTAAGTTGAGTGTTTGGCGCGTATTGGATTTATTGCGGAAAAATTTAAATTCGAAATGAACACATTACTAATTACGGATCAAGGCAAATTCAACTGAACTAAATCGGAATTTATGTGGCTCGCTTTTTTGGTATTTCGTCGAGTATTAAAGTTAAAATTGTCGCCTTTTAATGCGATTTTTTCAGCCGTTGAATCGTTTTTTACGAGAGCTTTAAGTTTGCACTTCATTTGATTCTGTTTTTACAATTTCCTTTGGCCATTTTGACAGCCAATGTTTCAAATGGCAAAAGTGAATTGAACAGAAAAAGAAATCTCAACGTGACGGTCATTAATTTCAAGACGCACCAGTGTTGTTGTTTTTTTTTCTATTTTTATTTGTATTCGTAAAGCGTACAAAGCAAATCGAAATGAGCGATTTTGCCGTTGTTTTTAATTTTCTGTTGACTCATCGTATTCCCACGGACATCTTCAATTTTTATATGCCACTGGGTGTGTGCGTGTGAGTGTGAACGACAACAAATAACTTCATTATGTGATGACACTCCAATCGCTGACAAAACGGAACAACGCTAGAATTGTCTCGCTTTGATTCGATTTTATTGTTCTTCCTTCCAACCGTTCTTTTCATTCATTGTTCGACCCATTTTCTAATATCCCTTGAAAAATTAAATAGCTATGTAATTGCCAAGTAGTTTAATCAAAAAGAAAAATACTGTGAATTCCATTTGGAATTGTGTCGATGAGTTTGTTTTCAGGCGCTGTTTTACAATAATTAAAGTTGTGACAAAGGATACGGATCTTTTATCTAGCCATTCTCCGTTTTTTCTGCGTCGCTGTGTTTTTGTCTTCAATTCAATGCAAACTTCCGAGATGTAATCGATTTCATTTGTGAAATGGAACAGAAAGAAGCTTTTCGCTAAATTACTTTCAACAGTATTAATACCCCGACAGAGTTCTTGGTCAACCTTTTGCTTGAAAGACTTTTACCTTTTCAACAAAATTTTTACACGACGAATAGAACAAAAAATGAACTTTCTATTGAAATTATGTCGACTAACTTTTGATCCATTCATTTTTTTTTGTTATCTTTGCAGCTTCCGCATCGCAGCGTGATTCATCCAGCTCAAAAGATAATAATCCCGGTGCATATGGTTCAAACAAACAAAATGCTCTCGATTTGGACGCATTCAAAGTGGGACCGTATTTTGATAAAGCAGCCTCGAAAAATGTCACAGCATTGTTGGGCAAAACGGCATATTTAAATTGTAGAGTGAAGAATTTAGGAAATAAAACGGTAAGTTATCTAGAACCTTATTTTAAAAATCTACCAAATATTAATACATAAATAAGTGAAGATGAGCAAAATCAAATTGAAAATTTCAAACCCATTTCAATGTCGAACATGCCAAATAGTTTCTCAAGCAAGAGATGAAATCAGAAAATCAAATAGAATATCTTGAAATTCGATGTCAAATAAATATTGAATCAAATTGGAAAACGTAAAGCATGACGTCAAGAGCATGAAAAGAACTGCATTCGTAATATTGACGTTGAAATTTTGCTTGGTTATGAAATGTCTATTGATAGCATGATACACTTTGTGTAAAATCAATTACTTTTTTAATAGAGCACTTGACCGCATCTGCGCACAGAAATGGCATTTAAATCTATGACCAACATTTAATTTTCGATCATCACATTTGACGGCGTTTACGTTAAGCGAACAAAATCGAACAATTAATAGCGAACGAACAGTTTTACTGTTGCCATATCATAAACTGTATTCAGTGACATTAATGCCACATTCTTTGAGAAATTGGTCTGATGGAAAGGCTGCACATTATAATAATTCAACAGTTAAAAGTCGATGATGTCGTAGAAAAAAGTCGTGTCGAAGTTTCTCTATCATGTCTGTTTTCTTTCTTTTTTGTTGATTTTTCTTTGGCTCACTGGTGTCACTACTTTTTGTTTCTGGCTTCCTCCGCATCGCAATGGAGATTGAAGGATGAAATTGAGCAACGCAAAAAGTTGAATGGATGAGTTGTTGCTGTGATAAGTTTTGTTGTGGCCCATCACTTGTTCTTGTGTTTCATCTTGGCATTGTTCAGATTTCTTCTCCCCAGTATCTATTTTACGCAGAGAATCGACGTAAATAATAAATCATCATTTTCAACACAGTTGAAATAGAATGCTTACACTCATGTTCTCTTGCCGAAGTATTTAATCACTTCCATTCGCCACATGCTAAAAACGAGTCATTCGGACCCTTTGAGCGTTTTTTTGCTATCTCTATAAACGTTATATATGCTCGCTTCATTGAGTGTCTCGTATAGTATTTCTGGTAGCCGATTGTGTTGGCTGATTTAAAAATATTACGTTAGATTGACCTCGATTTCTTATTGGTGGTGCGGTTGACATGAACAAGAAAAAGCCTAAACGATAACAAACGATTTATATTTCTCAAAGCCAAGCAACATAATTCATTCTTTTTGCTAACAACTTGATATATAACAGAAGAAATCTTTGCAAACGATACAAGTTTTGTAAATCGAAGCGATTCCGCTTCGAATTGTATATATGTAATGCTGTGTAGGTGTACCTTTTTGTCGGTCTCATTGCATCCGACTGTATGGCGACAAAATTGGCTTCGCAAATCATACACCGGCCAAAAGAATAAAAACCCATTCCGAGAATCATTAGAGAAAAAAATGGGAATTAATCCCAATGAAAATTGAGGAAAGGAAAACCATGAAACACGTTCGTGTAAACTCATTCACGGTGAAAATTAGGGTTACAAGGTAAAATGTAGAAGGTATCGAAATGAGAGAAAAAAAGGACGCACGATGTTGCCTTTTTTGTAAGGTTTTTAACATTATGTACATTTTATTTGTAAATGGCTTAAAACCTGAAAGTGAATCCGTTGATCAGGTAATTTTATATCTTGATGTTCCTTCAACAACAAAATGCGAATAGTATCTCTTCTTGAGGGTTTTACTTAAAACCGTGAGTCCTTCACACTGTCAACTCAATTATTTCGTTTTGTTCTTTTGTTATCAAATTTTCCGTTCTTGTATTTGGTGTTGAATTTCTTGCAAGTCAACAAGCTCTTCAATAAAAATGTCTAATTTTCTGCCGTTGCTCATTGAAATCATTTTTATGAAGCTCAAGCAACTCGGCACAATTTAACGATTCGGGGCCAGATAATAACAACAACAACGAAAAAGAAATCAAAGAATCATAAAAACTATATGGAAACGGAAGCGCCATCGAAATAGCGAAAATGCTATGTGCTTGAAAGGCTAAACCCAAAAAACCACGCTCACACACACATGCACACAGATGGAGACGACATTTCGGCATAAAATAAAATAAAACGAGGAAATTCTCGAAACGCGACCGTTCGGGAAATCGGTCAATGCGACAATAAAATATGTTATGGGATTTTCGTGCTTGCAGTCAGTTAGGATACATCATTTATCGTTACTATTTTCCGTTGACTCGTATCGAGCTGAGTTGCTAACAATCATGGATATCACGTTGTCAGTTGTAGGTACACTTTCGATTTGCTGGCATTGCTAGTTCTCACTTATACATACCCATCGTCATCATCTAGCTTCCATTCACCACCGAAATCATGTACGTCTTTCATCGATCATCATATTATTGGGTGTTGGTAGTGGTACTGATGTTGTTGCCTGATATCATGGCACGGTATTCGGTTGACGCTTTTCTCGTGTAATATGATTGCTAACATGATTGCTAAGCATTCATAAGATTCTATTTTAGTGCTATTGTTCTAGCGTCGATTTTCTCACATGATACCAACTCAAGACACACATCCCATGCATGTGTGCTTCAACCCCTGCACATCAATAGAAAAAACGGCAAATAAAAGAATTATCTGTATCAGTGGCTGGCATTCACATAGAATTTCATTTATACGAAACAACTAAAGGAGTCATTGTTTCAAAAGCCTCTGGTGTTACTTTCAAACAGATGCGTGTGTATGTACGTTCTTTTTTTCAATTGTTATTTCTGGCATATTGAAGGCGGAAACTAAAAACGAAACCTATTCACCAAAAACATCTCATAAATGGACTCAATTGTTTTCATATCAATTCGTTCAAATATTAAGTTTTTGCACAACAAAAAAGAAATGCACATATGATGACAATGCCGACGTCAACACAAATTTTTTTCCGGTTCGTTGTAACTATACTCCAACATATAACTGTCATCAGATTGCCGTTGGTGCCCGGTCTTGAAATATGGGAACCGTTGAAGAATGACATAAAATTAAATGAAACATGTCAGAAATATATACGTTGGGCTCATATATTCATTTCGTTAAAATGGCATCTTTCGCTAACACACGAAAAATGGGTGATTTCTTCTGTGTAACAAAAAAAAGGCTCACACAAGCAAATTAGAAATGGAGACGAAAGATGTGACGATTCAACAAAAACAAAATAGAGATAAATGAATGGAAAAAAGTACGGGAATGAAATTGAGAATGTTTGGTGCAAAATAAAGCACAAAAATCCGGGATATAACTGATCTCATATTGCACTCGATCAATTTTTCATCTTTTTTCTGAGTAAAAATGAAAGCAGAAAAAGAAATCGTTTCATTCCGTTGTTGTGTTTTAAAAAAGCACACAAGATTGCATGGAGTTTTAGGTGTGTCATCAATCATAATTTAAATACGAGAACACATTTCCCCAGCACCAACAGAAGTATATCTATCCTAGCATGGTTTCGATACACTTTTTTATTTCTCACTTTATTTAACGGTTGTTTTTCTAACTTGGCATCCGGATATAAGCCAACGTCCCACGTTTTATTCGTCTTCGGCCTTGGATAATATTCGAGAAGAAAAGCAATCCCTCTTGAAGGAATATCACACAAACACGACATTCAAAGTGATTTGTTTCATCTTGAAAAAGATGAAACAGTGGTAAAATTAGCAATCAGCAAAATGTGAATGAAAAATTAGAAGAAAAAATTATTCATAGAGTTCATGAATAATTGAAATGATTTGATGCTGTGAAAATACAGCCATGTCGAATGAATTTCTTATGACAATTCCTTTGTATGACGACTTCACACAAATTTTATTCAAAATCAAGTCAAATAAATAATACAAAAACAGACATGTTGTGACATATATATCGATTGAGACTGTCTGAGTAAGGTAATAAGTAGTAATAACGATATACAATGGAATATGACATAAGTTTTTCAGCTAGTTCTTAAATTGTTACTCCCTCAGTTTGCTCGTAGTGCTATAGATCCGTGCAATCTAATTTTGTTTATATTTTGGGTACACGTCTCGTTCTGACTCTCTATTAAAATTGAAACGGCGATATGTTGAAAATTCGATCATCAGCTTAAACAATAGTTGTAATAAATGCAACAAAAGTTAAGTTGTCAAAAATGGTTGGAAAATTCAAATTCATTTTAACCCTCCGTTGTAGAATCACATCTTTTAACTTGAATTAAATTGAAACCCTTAAATTAACTAATTTAAAAATATTTCAATATTTTTCATTTTTCTTCTAATAAAATGTAAGCGTGTTTATAAGTCGATTTATAAGCGCCATCTATTGCGAATTTGTACCATTTTTAGTTATGAGGGACTGGCGCTGATGTCAAGTTTTTTCACGTCGCTCCCATGGGTAAACTACATTTATACGTGAGAGTAGGAGGAAGTCGAGTGCTCGAGGGATTTCATCCCCTATGGGGATGATTTATGTCATATTATATCACCCAAATAATGGGGTCATTGGAGCTACCAAGGATCATATCTAGCACCATATCAATCTGGGAAATTTTTTTTGTTCCAAATGTCATATCGTCAACCCCTCTACCACATGCAGCATTTTGAAATAAAAAATCTGGCCAATCCGCGGATGTTTACTCATAAGAGAATGCAAATTACATCATTTTTCATATAAAATGTATGTGGGTCTGGCCAGACTCATGTGTTACTAATACGATGTTTACACCAACACATCCTTATAAAAAATCCTTGTGTCCTTTTTCGTCCTGATTTTTTTCATAGAATGGTAGCCAATAAAATTTTAGGAAGCTACACGGAATTTCAAGTCGCTAGCTTATTTAAAAATATATTTAAATTACAATTAAAATCAAAAAAGGTCTGGCCAGACCTATGTGTACAACGGAGGGTTAAATTTATTTTTATCAAATAATAATTACGTTCGCAATTTTTCATCTAAAAAACACGTACTATTCTTAGAATACAATCTTTTGTAGTTATAATTTTCCACAAAATAATTTTTCTTTTTCTAAATTAAGTGCACATTGTCGACAATCCACAATACAACTTAATTATATAATATTATTCAGAGAGGTTGAAAATCACGTGTTTGAATGACATTTTGATTTGTTTTATTCATGCAAACTTGTGAAAATGGCTTAGAGAACTTGGCTGATTTCATTTTTATGAGTTTATAACACATGACAGCATCGGAAGCAATTATAACATAAATATGATGGCAGAAAGAACCTTATAAACACTTTATTAATTGATTTCAATTCCGGAATTTTGGAAAATAAAATTAAATAGAGCTGTCATTGTTTTGAAATGGATGAACAATTTCAAAGTTATGTAGTACAACATGTTCCATTTCATCACAATACCATTAATAGCCTCAATTCATGTAGATCATTTATCATTCACTGAAGCGAAAGTTTGAATTGTCGAGAGAAAGTATGGTGGTGGAAGTGAATGAAAGCTTTTCTTTGTATATCGAGAATAAATTGCAGTTTTAAAGTAAAAATCGGGAGAAAAAAGACGCTCTTGACACTTGACGGCTGAAAATAAAACACATTTCCGGTAGCGAAAGAAATGGTGCTGTTCATTCTGAACAATGCCAAGTATCCGATGTATTTTTTGCAAGCCAATAAAATACTGAGAAAATATTATGTGGTCGCAGCTGCAGTTTCGGTGCTTTTTTCCTTCTTTTTTTTCCTTCTTCACGACAATTACATAGAAGCAAATTAGTAGCATTTTTGGTGTAAAAGTGCTTTATTTTTGCAGTAAAGGTTGTTTTTCGTTAAATTTAATTTACTACACCGTTTCATTTTTGGCTTCAACAACGTAATTATTTGCTTGCCTCGATATAACATCGGATTGGTGTTATCGGGGTCGATAATTAAACTGTAAATCGGCCATGTTTCTTTTAAAGGGAAAAAACCTGACGAAAATAAAATCAAATGAAAAACACAAGCATCGACGATGACCGCGCATGGGTTCGAGCAAGTGAAATGTACTACCTCTAAAAAAACGACCGAACCGCAAACATGCCATAGAGAAAAAATCTACTAAAAATAAAGCACGAAAACAATTTCGAGTCTCGTAAAAGAAAAGCGTTTGCGTGTTTTCCTATGTTTTGTCGTCGTCCAAAAAAAACTCTTTACGGCCATTTCGATGCACACGACATTCATTACAGCAATGTAGTTTCAGCACGAAAATCTTTGCTGTTGACGCGTTTGTTGATTGTTTTCGCCGTTCGTTTTTCTCTCTTTTTAGGTGTACACATTTATAATAAAACCACAGAAATTGTGCGGATCTTTTTCTATTGTTGTACTGGTTTTCTATTCGCTTGTGGCATCGATTTTATTTTTGATGTCGGTTAATTCTAGTGTTTACGCCGAAAATTACAAACCCAATACTCTACATTTGTGGGGTAATATACATATTTTTGTCGGGAGGGAGGTTGGTTATTCTAATGTTTGGCACTTTGCATGAGAGATTGCTTGAGAATGAAAGAAAGAGGATTATGCATGCGATCGACTTTGTCAATGTCATATAAACATTATGCTGAACACAAGAAATACATTGTATTGCATTTATTTTGCCATTTCGAATGTTGACGTACGCTGCGATACACAACAAATGATGGAGAGGATAGGGAAAAAAATTGTCGACATTTCATTTGATGAGACATTCAAATTCATTGATATGGCCGTAATAAAGAAATGCCGACGAAGACAGTACTCTGTGATAAATAACTATGGCATGATGTCGATAAACAAAAGAAAGTCGAAACAGTACGGACACACTGAACGTGATCAATGTCTTTAATATGAATCAACCGCAACACTTGCCATCACACACATGCATCCAATTTGTATTGTTATTGTTTTACACGTTTTTCAAGCATTCTTTATTAGGTTTCATTTGCGTTCTTTTCACTCTGTTTGACTGGAAAAAAATGACTGGCATCACAACGGAATGTCATTCGGAATGGCACACTGCATAGACCACATTTACCGCATCAATACCAAAAATTGAACAAATAAATACACAAAATCCATGCCAAAAGAAAATCTGAAGAGATTTTTCAATGAAACAGACCAAAATGAACAGTGTTTGCCACATACACACACACACGCTCAAACAAGTATGATATACACATATCATTTATTTATATGTTTCGTGTGCCAAAAGATTGTTTGATGTTGAACGATGATAAATTCAACGAAAGCAAAAAACGACAAACACCAAAATCATGTGAATATATACAGACTCATGCCGTAGGCTATGTATCGAGTCGTTATCAATGTGTAGGCATGTTCAACTCTTCGGATAATATTTGAAAGCATATATCGGTTGAGGCACATGTTTCGTACATACTTTTGCCGAATTTGGCAGGCATCGAGATACAACACAACACAAGCGTGCATGTTATTCATGTACGCCTCTCAATCGTAACTATATTTAGTATTTAAATTACCACATAAAAGATGCATGGCATTATTTCTACTCCGTTTTAAATAGATTTTGAACATTACAAATTATTTCGTACTTTTTTCAAGTTTCCTCCACTTTCGGGGTATTTTACTTTCAATCAGTTTTTCGATTATTTATCGACATTAGACGCGCGCGTGTTCGTCTGTGGTCGTCGAAATACAAAAGAATTTACATGTGGATTTACGTGTTTATTTTATTTAGTTTTTGCGTCAGCGGTTCAATGGAAACACTTTTGTTACAGAATGTTTTCGACCATGAAAAATACTACATTGAAACGCTTATGCTGAGCTTGCTTCACTCATGTCAATTTACCATTTTGTGATATCGTTGACTTTTTAACATATTGTCCTGCCGAAAACGTCAAACATTCATTGTAACTTTTGGTTTTTGAGCGCTGGGGTGAACGCTTGCAATGGAAATCGTGTACGCAAATGGAAAATAATAATAAAAATAAATCAATAATCGTTTTGAATTATTAGCGTCATGTTCGATGGGTGCGTGTACAGCCTTTGGGCTTGATCGCGATAAATGGCGTCGGCGATAGTGAATGAGCACGTGCACAGTCAAATGGCCAATATAGAATATTAAATCGATGTAAATATTCGATGCATCAAAATCAACCATACAACGATTGCGTGTAATTGTTGAAACAATTTGGAATGAAAACGACATCACAATAAAGTCTCTCTTATCAATCGGTTATTTTTTTCGATCATGTTTCACATCATTGGGGAAAAAATCTACTAAAAAAAAAAACGCTCACAGACAAATCGCTCATTTGTGTTAAAATAAATGTTTGATGAAGATGAATAAAACGCTAAGAATAGCCGCGATTTTTTTTGTATTAGACATATGAATGAGTGTTCGAGGCTCTGATTGTATTATGATCCTCTCAATGGCGACCTTTCCAGAGATGTTTGGTACAACACAAAAAATGTTATAGTCGTATGCAGTCGAAATGGTTGGAAATATTCTGTACCTGTAAAAACTGACATCGCGCTAATGTTGTGTCTGTAGTGGTAAATACAAAAAACCAAACAAGCCCGTAGCATTTGCAACATAATTTACATTTAAATTGAATGTTAAATTATTTATGTGTTGCGTTCATTCAACAACATTGAATGGCAATGAATGAAAGGGTTAAACCCAGTAGAAGAGGAGAGAGGGAGATAAAGAGATTCGAGAGCATGGCTAAAAGCTACTCCCATCATCATATACTTTCAATTCAAATCAGGCATGGGCGATTTTTGTAAATTATCGTCGAGCCGCTGTTGTGTTTCTCTTTTTTTTATTTCACTCTCTTGCTTCGTTCACATTTCATAATTGAAAAAGAGATTACATCGAAATAGTCGAATGTGTATTGGTTCAGCTATTATTGCTGGAGATCAAAATGGTGGCGAATGCAATCCCATTTGGGTCTCCATTGGCAAACCAGTTTAAATTATTAATTTTACGAGCACCTATTGCATACAAATTCTGATCAAGCTCAATCGTTTTTCGAACGGTATATCCACTAACAACGAAAATTGAAAATTTGAAGCTCTTTTAAATAATAATAAAAACGCAATAATTTATTGGATACGTTTGATTGTATTTTCATTTCAGTCATTGCTTCAAGTAAGTTGGGTGAGACATCGCGATATACACCTCCTGACAGTAGGCCGATACACGTAAGTCTGAATGCTATTAATACCATAACAAATAACACGTAATTCATAAATATGTATAATATATTGCGCATGCAGTTACACATCAGATCAACGTTTTCGTGCGATACATCATCCACATTCGGAAGATTGGATACTACAAGTAAAGTATCCACAGCATCGCGATTCCGGGATCTATGAGGTGAGTTTCATTTTCTTTTTTTATTCTCTTTCAGGTTTAAATTCTATCAATTTCTGTGACCAATTAAAAATGTTTCTCTTGTATTTCATTTACAGTGCCAGGTTTGTATATATTACACAAGACTTATGCACATTTGTACTGGAAAAGTCAACAAACACGAGGTAATATTGGCTTATTGGCATCGAATCAAACATCATCGATGTGAAGCAAAAACGTAACAAACACCGTTCATTTCGGTTGGATTTATCCAATGAAATTTTAATGAATGCCTATTTGATCTCGCTTGCAACGGGATGCCTGAAGCCAATGGGACTTTTTTTGTTTGAAGCATTAATAATGTAGTTACTGTATTGCCAGTTAACCACCACGTTGTAACTGAAACCTACACCAATATTAATATAGTGTGTGTGTTTTTCGACTCTCATTCATAAAAAAATTCCATGTTTCAGGTTTCGACAACGCCACACATGTCGCATTACATTCACTTGAATGTTATCGGTAAGTAATGGTAGTAGCATTGCGATGGATTTATTTTTGACAAGCTGGGAGTGGTGGCTGTGGTTCATGCAAAGCTCAATCAACGAGTCGACAACATTGACAGCGGATAAAATTTCGTTATGCTCGTCACTTTCATGATAATTTAATGATAATGACATGCATCCAATTTTAATTAAAAGTTCATATGTTTTAATGGTTTCTTTTTGTTTTAATGGCTGCGGGAAATTTGAACCAATTAAATTATAAACAAGAAATTTGGTATGAAGACGTATATGGTCGTGGCCAAATTAAAAATTCAAAGTAAAGACGCACAACTTTCAATGTCATTCAAATAAGCATTTCAAGTTTTATTGTGTGCCGCGACACATTTGCGTACACATTTTCAAATCGAATTCATGCGAATGTAACTTTCGAAAATCGTATTATGCGACGCCATAATTTTCAATTAAAATCACATTTTTTGAATTATTTTTGAATCAACATCAGAAGCCGCATATTGTTGCCGCACACATTTTTTTTGGTTTTTACTGATATCAAGCAGGTAAAAATGATGGGGGAAAGAGCGACGTCGTTGTATTCTTTTCAACAACACGTGGGAATTTCCCGTGATTCCCCGCCTCTTTGTTGCAATTTCCATAAATTCGCATAAAAAATGATGGTTGGCCATGAAAATACAACGTATATCAGACCAACTCAACATAGAATGTATCCTCTCCATGCAGCACATTTCATTTTCGTTGGCCATTTTAGTACGTATGGTAAAAGACAAACATTGTCAACTTTTATGCAATGAAAATACTGTTATTTTTTTGCAGAAAAGAAAGTTCATCTGATATTTAAATATCATTTTAGCATCGCATGAATTTTCATGACTGGCAATTTTTCGGCATATAAATGAGAGTATCTGCCGTGGTTAATGATAATAATGATGACATTTTTCGTCTTATTTTTCGAGTAATTTTTTTTCCTACAATCAGTAGGACCCAACCGGCTAAGCCTATGAAGAGACAAAATGCGAATTCCCCTCATCTGTGCCATCTTGTATTCCATAGTTGAACTCAATTTAGTTACAATGAATTGAATCGAAAAAGAGAAAAAAAACAACAACAGTAACATGGCTACATAGATCTGTTGACCAGTGAGATACGTATAGCAATGGAATGAAAGAATGAAGAAAGCGTATATGTGTATGTATGCATCAGCACGCATAGATGTACAGCTCTGTGTGGCCGTGCTATTGTTGTTGTTTTTTCACTTTTTCATTTCAATGCTACAGAATTAAATTCAGTTTTTGCATCTAATTCACACTAAAATCAGATGGCGCTCATTAGCGAGATTCGCAAAAAAAAGTCTCCAATCTCATACAAATATACACCGGCTGGTAGGACCGGTAGGCCTATAAAAAAACTTTTCAACGCTGATAAGCAAAAAATTTTGATAAATAATCTAAATATGCGTATTATTATGAGATACTTGACTTTGTATAGTCCACCAAAGTCACGTCAAACGACATGACAATGAAATATGTCCAAGTAGTGGTTTTTAATAGACATTCGAGTCTTCAAACCTATTGGAAAGGTTTTGAAAAAAAAAAAACAATTTCCGAGAATCATTTGTAGCATTTATTTTTAGACCTAGGCAAAATTATCATTTCATTACTTGACCAAGGAATACGTTTATCGGAAACGAGTCACCATAATTTTTCAAAGCGAATTCTTCGAGAATGGAATTTGTTTACAATGAAAAATGTGATTCGCCGTTTAAAAAATACGTGGCACTTACGATTTTACATCAAAAGATAATTTGCATGGTGATTCGAAGACACTTCTTGTCAACCATTATGGTGTAAGAGATACGATTTCGTAAAGGAAATCCGGTCGGAGATATTTGCATTCTATCAAATTTTCCCATCCTCGTAAAAAGTGCTCAAGTCAGAGAGTTTCAAAATTTAATTTAAATAAAATTCGCAGATTTACGACATGGTTTGTCCTTCAACCGGAAAATACGATCGCTATGTAGAATATGCACATAACCATTCTCTTCCACTTTCATTCTCTCTCTCTCTCTCTCTCTCTCTCTGTCACCATTCTATCATCAGGCGTTAGTTTTGTAAGGTGTTTCGTAACGCAGAAACCATGGGAAACATAGTATACGATTTTTTTCGTCATTCACATTTATGTCCCCTCTAATTACTCGAGCAATTATAGCAGGAAAAAAGTATATATACGCTGCCTTTAACTTATTTTATGTGCCATTTATGAATAAAAAATGAGGTAATGACAAGTAGCATCACAAACAGTATGCTAATTAACTGAACAATAATTTTATTTGGTTTTTCTACTCGTAAAACCGAAAGCGATGCAACTAGAGCTTGAAATACTCGACATAATTTTTTTGCTCACCTTTGTTTGAGTAGTTGAAATATCAGTTTATTTCTCAGTGGTGTACTTTTTCATTTCTTTTTTCGGACCTAAATCTTTTGGTTTGGTCATTTTTTGTTCAAACTTAATAAGTTCATAAACACGAATCAATGTAAGGTTTTGTAATAAAAATGTCTATTTGCAAAGTCTGTTACAAAAATGAAAAAAAAAAAAAACATTCTTTGGAGTAAATAATTTTTCTCATTGGTTTTTTTCATTTAACAGACGTCTTGAAACCTTTTCAGCCAGCGCACAAAATTCAAATCAAGAAAATTTCAATTTTCCCAAGCCATTTTAATTCACACACGATTTTATTTCTTTTTTTTATTCTCTCGCTTTTTTCGCGAAATGTTGAACGGGATGTGGTTAAACAACGACGTTTCAATTATATATTTTTTATCCGGATTGGGATTGCGGGTTTTATTCTCATTTTTATGTACTTCATGACGGTAACACTGCATCGTCATATCATCATATATAAATGTATATAAAATATATACGAAATAACATCAGAACCATCGACCGTAATAATTGGTGCGAGCGATATGTATATCGAAAGCGGGTCAACCATAAATTTAACGTGCGTGATTGAGGATTCACCTGAGCCACCGGCGTATATCTTTTGGAATCACAACAATGCCGTAAGTACAAAAAAGTTTACTATTTATGTGCTTCAAAATGTCTAATTTGTTTATGTTCATGGTTGAAGAAAAAAAATTTGTTGGCAATTAATAAAATCTGAATCCGATTTGCCGTGGTTTTATATCCGAGACGAGATTTGTTTGTATATTTATGTATAATGTTGGTTCGGTCCATATTCGATGGCACATAAAACAATTTCCAGTGTTCAATCAATTCGTGAGCATACCGACTGGGGTTTACTTTTTTTAGTCATACAGTCTTTGACCATAACAATTCATTAGTGATTCAATTTAAATTCGATCGAGAATAAATCAAATGGATGGTAAAAAAGTGAAAAGTTCATACGTCAATCGCATAGAGTGGTTCGTGCAATTTCAATTTGAAACACTCGCAAACACAATAATATCGTTCATGATTCATTTATATGGAAACGAATTGGCAATGCGACTTATGCACGAACTCCATAGCCTTTTTACATACTTCACAGCAATTAAACAAGCATTTTGTGTTTTAAGTGTTTTTTTCTTCTCTCTCTTTGATTCCGGGTCACTTTCCACATTATTCTCGTACGATTTTCGTTTCTAATTGAATTTTTATTGAATGCGGAACGCTGCGCCTGAAAATGATGTCCGTTCAATTCCAATTTCATAAATTACAACAAGTTAAAATGGATGCAATAAAATACCATCACAAACATTTTCACACTCTTATGAAAGTGATTGAATCTTGATTGTGCTTTATATTTGTTATTCAATAGCGTAGATATATAAATTAACTGGTCTGTTGCTGATGATGTAGTTTCGAGACTTAAAAATATTAAGCTGAACAATAAAATTGTGTTTAAATATTTGCCGCTTGAATGCTGGCACAATCATCTATGGCAGCCGTGGAAATTATCGCGTTGGCACATTATTTTATCATAATTTGTATGAATAACTAAAACGACTGTTCCAATTGATTTGATTGACATTCTGATTTGTGCATTTACGCTTAATTGATTTTCTTAATAATAACCCAAGAAAAATAATCACTTTCAACTTTGTATTGTGTGTGTGAGTACGCTTTATTGAAATTCACGCTTGAAGCAAATTACTACCTCTATCATTCGTTTTTCTTAGTATTGCCGCATGATAAATGATTATGTATTATATTTAAAATATGCTCCAGTCGTAAAACCATATTATCGTCGAATGTTTATATTTAGATGTAGATTCGGAGGCGGCAAAGAGCTGTAATTAAAAATGGTCATTGCGTGCAATTAATTATTTCGTTGGTTTAATTGACGTTGAGTAATGAAAAAGCTCTTTGTGAATTATTGAGCAGTTCGGCAGCAATTTGAGCGAAAATCAAATTCAATTTTTGACAGCAGTTAATAATAATGTTCAACGTATCAGAATATTGACAAATTAACAGATCGTAATGGTAATACTTTGATTGTTTGCACGTTCTTCATGCGTTGGCGGAGAGCCTAAACGAAATACTGATCCTTTTAAGACATGTTCAAGCTAATTTTATCAAGTCTTTTTGGTTTTCCAAGATTCGTCCCACATTAGTATTTCTTCGGTGTTCAAAACTGTGACTGTTCGATAACGAATGTATTTCAAGACGTTGTAAGCTTATTCTCAAATGAATATTGCTAATAAAATATTAACGTACAAAAAGTGTTTAGGCTTGTTGTCTATTTAAGTGATTGAATCACGCTATGACCAATTTGTGATAAGCCCAATATCCCACATCACTGAAATTCGAACAAAATCAACGAAAAAGAGTTACATAATTTATCAATCCAACATTTAACCATATATATTGAAGGTTTAGTGCTTAAGTTTAATTTTTGGGTGAATAATGTTTTGATTGATCTCACTAATTTATTTATACGTTTATTTGATTAAAAAAAAAAAAAAACTAGATTGTGACATACGATTCACCCCGTGGCGGAATACGAGTAACAACGAGGAAAGATGAGGCATCTACATCGTTTCTGCTAATTGAGAATGCCCAACCATCTGATTCTGGAGTGTATCAATGCAATCCATCCAATGCCAAAAGTAAAAGTGTCACGGTGCATGTGTTAAACGGTAACGTTATTGAAATCCATACAAATAAGTTATTTCTTCCGTATTTATCCATTTTCAATGAAAAACAATGACCTGAATTGCAATTATCGTCTCTCGTCCATCGATTTCAAAAAGTGACAGCTGAAGTCAATTTTTTAAGCCGAATTAAATGAACAGCCATGTCCTATGCAAATCCGGCTAAAGCTTTAGTTGAAAAAAAGTAACGGAATCTATCCTCGGATTATATAAATGGAAAAAAATCAATCATCATTGCACTTGCCATCGCAAGAAATCAGATGGGTAGTCAAATTCCGGTCAATCCAAATTATCATGAATATGTAACAATATTTTTTTTTTTTATTTGGCATTTTTTAAATTGAAAATATCAAAACCCGGAAAATGTTTACCCGAAATTCGTACACCACCAAAGTGAATCTCATTAAAATGTACACTTTAAATCACCCATTACATTTGATCGATTGCATTTTCACATGAAAATTTTCTCGAATATTTCATATCAATTTGAAATTTTTAAATAAAAAACGTTGCAAAAGATCAATCTATTTTAATGAAGATTTCAAATGAAATGTTTGTTTTAAGTTGCGGATTTGAAGCATTTTTTTTTATTTCGCGTTTGTGTTGACATTATGCATACACATATTCATGCCTCAAGCTAAAACATTTAATAACAATGAATCACTTCAAATACGTTTATTATTGTACAAATCTCAGGCTTTCAGCGCAATGATAACAAAGGCCCTGTATGAATTGAATTTATGATAGATTTTCAACGGTAAAAAATTTATTTGAACAAAGTGCATTGTGTGCACGTATTATTGTGTTATTACAAACACAAAAAATACGACGATTAAGATGCTTTGGTGGATATGTTTGTTGAATGTTTGTTCTTTATTTATTTCAATTTTTTTTTGTTTGAGTTCTTCAATGAATTTTTTTTTGCTCGAGGCTTTTTTGGTTGTGTAAAATGCTGTTTTTTATTATTGTTCATTTGGTTTCATTTTCTTTGATATATATAATTAAACGGCTGCAACCAATATGAAAAGGATTACAAAATTGACCGATTGATATCACCTCTGATGAAAAAAATGATGGTAGATGAAAAAAAATATATAACATTCGAATTAATGGATTGAGTTTATTTATACAACAATATGTGCACAATGAATGTAATTTGATCATTGGTTTGGTGTTCATTATGGACATGAGACGCAAATTGCAATTGAATCATTGACTATAATTTGAATCAATATGTTGAGAGGACAGTAGTGAAATTAAACTAAAAAATAGGCGTTTCACACTCTGTTTCCAGGGAAAACCCTAACAGCAATGCAGTCCGCGGATCATCTTCATCATCAGCGAGGAACAAATTATCATCTCTTAGTTTTTATTTACTTATTACAATATTTATCAATATAATATTTATCCAGTGCAGTTTCTGGTTTAAATTGTTCGAATGGCGTCGATATGTTGGCGATATGATTGATTTTATTGTGGTAAAATTGGAGTCAATACGACAGATGGAAGGAGAAGAAGAGCCACCACAGCAGCAGCAACCATCAGTATTATTGACAACAATCATTCTAGATCGATTTTTTACGATGCAATATTTTTGGTTTCGCATTCAATATTTATTTCAGTGGTCAACTGTATTCATTTCGTTAAAATATTCGATGCAATTATTTATTCAAATTATTTATTTGAATTGCACATCGTTTGCATATGCTGTGGCATCTGTACTACCAGATGGAGCAACTGCAGTTGTAACAATGACAACACCACAGCCAATCAAACCAAATGCATTTGCATTCAATGGCGATACTGAATTATTTATCAAAACTGATGCAAATAATATCGATCATGTCATGAATTTAGACCACGCATTGTTCTGTAGAGATGCAGCTAATCAACAAACAATAATCCAAACCAAACAAACTGATCAACTGTAAATTGAGTTTTTATATGTCAATGTAAATGTAATATAAATTATAAAGAATATACAATACAATACAAAACCAAAAAAAAAGAAGAAATCTACTCTACTGTGTATAGAATGACGATGGATTAATAGATAATAAATGTTTTAGAATGCAAACCGCGATTACGATGATGATAATAGTGAATGAGCTGATGATGAACAAACAAACAAAAATATCGAGGGAACACACCAAATACTAGTGTGTGAAATGCTGTTTTAAAGAATTATTGTAATGTTATCCAAATAAATAAAAAAACGGAGATGAAAAAACAATGTGACATGCATACTTAAAAAAACAAATACCACAAATTAATAAATACAAATGAAAAAAAATATTATAAGTTCACTGTAATAGGTAAGCAAAAAAAGAGCGAAAGAGGAGAAAATAAAGAGATAGAGAAACCAAATTAAGTAAATTTATTTAATGAATTTGTTGATATGATTTAAAAGAAACAGAATTTTAAGCAAAGAAATGGAGAAAATGAAACTATGAAATAAATATATATTAAACTGTACGATATAATTTCAATGGAATTTTTTTATTTAAATATTTTGCTGCAGGCGGGGCACATACTGCTGTACTATTTCAGGAACAAACTACTGAAACAACGTTATCTTGCATGGGAATAAAATTTTAAGTGAAGTTTCTCAAGTTTGACGATATGAAGCACTTAAGCTCGTACGGTTTGTATGTCAATCTATATTTAAACAGTTTATACACAATACTTTTCACAGTTACGTGGGCAAAGACATGAAAATCATTTTTCTCTGAAAATTAAACATAAATTTCCATAACTAGATGCAATCGTTTCGATAAAACGTTATGCTAACGGTGAATGGAAAAATGGGGGGTTTTATTCCATGATAAACGGCAATGAAAGAATGTCGAGAACGTCGCACAAAGTGAACAACCATCAACGAATAATCGACATTTATATTAATGATGTTTGGCTGCTGTTGCTGACATAAACTTCACTTCAAGCAACGTGTATTCAATCATCACCATTGTATCCAAGCGAAGCGAAACGAATATAAAAAAACGAACTGCAACGAGAGGAAATGGAAAAGAAAACGGGAGGAGAAAAAAAAAACAAAATTGCACTATATTTCGTGATATGAAAGGAGCTAAACGTATGCGATTGTATGCAAGAAGAGTTGTCAAATTGTATGTTACGGAACAGAATAAGGCGGAGAGAGAATGACTTATAGCAGAGAGAAAGACGGAGATGGAAGCGGAGAAGAATGGGTGTTGGGTGACAAGTGAATGACGAAACCAATGGATGTTCATCGACGTGGGTGCATTCCAAGAGAAAATTACTTAAGTGCACTTCGAAATGTGAAACAAGGTTCAATAAACACGCGGCATTCATGCCGTTTTTCGTGTTTTCGTGACATCATTCATTCACCTTTTTTTCTGAATTCGTTCGTTCACATTATTTGATCGTCTGTCATCTATCATACACGTGTCATGGAACTGACGAAAATGTTATTTAAACAAAAAAAAACCAAATCAACTCTATATTTATAGATCATTTGTTTCCATCAATATCATTCGCATTTTCAGTTGAGATGACTCAAACCAAGAGTACATAGTTGTTTAATTTTCAGACATTGACGTCACGAATCGACTTTCAATCATCAACTCAATTTGGGCACCATTCATATACATGTGCTTAATTAAAAGTCAATTTCAAACGATAACTTTTTTTCTCGATTCTATTAAAGATTGTAAAATGCACAGATATAAATATGTGAAGTAATGACCTGAAATCAGTCAATGTCGACGCAAAGTAAGCACCTCTTGAAACGAGTTTGTTATGTAAATAGTTACTTTTGTGCAAAGTAAAATGATATTGTTTGAACTTCACAATTATCATTCTGTTATTCATTAGTGCGTCACAAAAATGCAGTAGTTTATCGATTTTTATTTTTATTGCAGTTTGCAACTATATAATAAATTGTCTTCCTTGTTAAAATCGGCTTGCCTTCCAAGTATCTTATCTTTAGATATCAAAATACATGAACTTTTTGCAATCATCATGAGTGGCAATTTTCGTAGTCATTATCAATATTTTTTTATTGCGATCAAAAGTACTCTGGAATCGTGACAAAAATGAACGATTCAGTTCTGATTGAAGTCATTAACTACTTAGATGTCATAACTGCATTTAAAAAAACATAAATAATAAAATAATATTCGCCAAGAAATTAGAAATAAATTAAAATGGCAGAATTACGTAAAAAACACAAGACTTGGATAAAAGAGTTTTTGACGCCGAATTTAGTCGAAAATCAAAAATTAATCACCTGCAAAAATCCAAAAGAACATATTGAAATTGAAGCAATTGAAATAAAAGAAATGTCGCTCGAAGTGGCTTTTATGCTAACGGTTTGCTATTTTGTGAAAATTTCCATTAAAATTCGAACAGAACATGAGCAATGTGAAGGCGAGGACGGTTACGATGAAACCCTTTTTGATATTGTGGTGAAGGTAAAATTTAGGTTATGATCATAAAGAATAGAAGTACATACACTTTTTTCGTTTTTTTTTTATATCAATTTGCATGCGATTTAAATTTTTGGAATAAATTTATCAAATGAGTAACCATAGCTTCTGGTCGCGATTCGTGGAGGGAGGGGATGTAAATTTCAAAAATTGTAACTTATAAGTTTTAGATTATTTTGCAATTCAAGTGTGGGCATTTATTTGGAAAATGAAATTCAAAAGAAACAAATAGAAATGGCAAATTTCATTCTGAAAATAATATTAAAATTGTTGGATTACATCATTTAAATTAAATGAGCTTAATATATAAACCTTAAATATCTTTTGAAAAAAATAAAATAATATGTAGTTTGCACCTGACGTGGAACCAGATTTATATGAGATTTGGGGCATGCAAGAAAAGTTTGGTAATGAAATAACCACCTACGAGCATATTGCACCGAAGATTGAATCATTGTCCAAATCACCCAAGTATTTATATTCCGATGTTAAATATTGTGTTCGTTATTTTATCATGGCCTTTATCTTTCATCAGGTGTTTGTATTCACACAATGAGCCTTCAGATGCTGTTATCGTCTTATCTGACTTCTCCAATGATGGATGGAAAATGTCAAAGCTAAAGGTCAATTTACCCCTTGATCATATCATTGTTGCTGGTACACAATTTAATATTAGAAATTAATAACCAGAAAGCATTTTTTAATGCCATTGAATCGATTATTATTCAGTTAAGGAACTTGGACGCTTTCATGGCCAAATGTATGCACTGAAATTAACAGACGCGGATGCCTTTCAGTCGATGAAAAGCAGATTGTTGAATTCCCGATTTGGCGAAGTTACCGACGAATGGAACATATGTTTGGAGCTTGGTATAAGAAGAGCGACATATAGTGTTCGCACATCGATAGAATCACGTGAAATCGTTCCGGAGACATTTTTGAAACGCTTAGAGGAAGTAATGTATGGAGTGTACGATTATTTGGGCAAGCGTAATCGGCCGATTGAGCCCATTGCCATCATTTGTCACGGTGACTATCTGCGAAACAACATTGCATTCCGATATGATGTCGATGGAAAAGCGATTGAAGCGATGATGTTTGATTTTCAAACTATGTGCTATTCATCTCCGATGATCGATTTAACCACGTTTATAGCAAATTCCACGGGATGGAAAGTACGGAATAAACACTTTTCAGAGATATTTTCTGCCTATCATGAATCGCTGATCGGCAGTTTTATACAAGCATCAAAATGGGAAGAAAGCAAGATTCCAGAATATTTGAAGTTAGTTTTAATTTTGTTGATGGTTTTTTTATGAATATTTTTTTTACGATATAACGTTTTTCATTTAGATATGATAATATGTTGAAAGAATATGCTTGTTATCTACCGTTTGGACTGGGTATAGCATCGGCATTTTTACAATTTTTGCACGATAAAGAAACGCCGAATTTTGAACAAAAGAGCCCTATTAAAGAAACAATTAGATTTGCTTTGGATAAAGGCGGTGATGTAGTTGATGCCGAACTTCGAGCACTTGTGGTTGACATTTACCAGTTACATGATAAATTAGATTTAAATCTCGAAAAATTATAAACATAACGAAAACCTATTGATATGAAATTAATTAAAATCAATCAAATAAAAGCAATCGTTATGCACAGATCAACATATATTTAACTTTAACATTCATAAAGAAATTCAATTGGTTGTGGAAGATAAGGTATTAAACCATGTTTCTGTGGATTCGGTAAGTGAAAATTTGCTATAATTTTCCGTTAGTAAGGATGGCGAAATTCATTAAAAAAAACTCATTATTCATGAAACCTTCAATGGTGGGTACAAAAATCTTGCTTGGTAAATGCATCAAATAGATTATATGATCCACCATCTCGTAACGAATGGAAAAAATCAAATGCATAATTAAAAATAATACATATATTATACAAACCAATTATACGTTTTATTAAAATGATACCGATTAATATTTTAATTCACACTCTCTTTTTATATATGGGCTGAAATTAGGGGCTTAATACGGCAAAAAAAATCACAGGAATTCACGTAAATTCACACTTTTGAATCGAGTGGTTATTGATGAGTTCGGTGAATTCGTGTGAATAGAATGAAATGTGTCAAAGTAATAAAGTGAGGTTATGATAACCGCAATATTTTTTAATTTATTATTTTTTCAATATTTCAGATTGTTTTCGATAGAAAATCGCTCAAAATTGAAAATAAAATTAATTTTTATTAAAAAAATATAAAAAACATTTACAATTTCGTTACACAAAATATAAATATTGCAGTAATTGCCAGCAGAAACTATTCACCACTATCTCATATATTTGAATGAAATCGCCGTAGAATTCACTGGAATTCATTCGTTTGCTGAAAAATTCAGTTAATTTAGATATTATTATAGAATTCAGTCGTTGAACTTTTGAATTAAGCCCCTTAGGCTGAAATTGATATTGGCATTTTTTACACCAAAATATGTTTTTAATTAATGAGTTCAAAACTTTTTTGATTGATGAAGTCATCGCCTCGAGCTAAATGAATACGTTGCACTCGTATCCTAGTAGTCACTACCTTTGATAATAAAAACTTGATTACATTCTTCATTTAAAATATTACGTTCAGTCAAGGAGAAATACTTTAATTAAAATGATGAAAATTAATAACATGTGTTTAATATGTGTTGTATACACGAATTCAATTGTACGATTATTTGCAATCGTCATTCTAAAAGGCTGAATAAGTATGAATCATACTGTATGATACTTACTACGAATCTAACTTTTCGATGACTTTAATTGTATAATTTCAGAAAAAAATCATAACTCTTTCGCAATCATTTTCAATTCGGTGTCAACACAAATGTTTAAAAAATGCTCAAGTGTATTTTTTATTGTATGTAAGAAAGTTGTACTCGCTCCTGGCGGATTTTCGAGTTTGTACGGTATATTCAAGATTTAAATCTGTTTTATTGACAGAATTCATTTGGTTTCATATTTATTCGCTCAATCTAATATGTTCCACAATCATAAATGAGCATCGATGGTGTAAGCACGGATAACCTCCCTTAAAATTTTAATTTGCTAGGTTTTTTCGCTCTTTAAATTGTCATTTGATTGGCCAATCGACCCCAACCCCCTTAATTTTTTTCCGTACCCATGTATGACGGCAATATTAAAAAAATGGCATGGTTTACCATAGAAATTAGCAATTTACCTGCCAGAAAAAAAGTTGATTATTAGAATATACAAATTTTGCAGGAATATAATTGAAAAACACGAAATTAATAATCAAAAATTGGTATTTTCAATTGTTTATATGTAAATTAAAATGAATGAAATAAATTCCACGGAATAAAGAATTTCCCTCCAGAACCCAATCAATCGACTGAATGAATTTGTTTTCAATATATTCAAATGTGTTAATTGCTCGAATACGTTATTAAAATTAGTCTGGGTTTTCTGCGCACCATGTTTACCAAACAAACGTGCTGTATGATTACAGTATTTTATAGACATTGTTCATTAAATCACCTAATGTGTGTTAATGTTATGGTTTGCCGGCGTGAACCATGTGTTCCGTATTATTATAGAGAAAATCAATAAATGTGTTGGTTGTTCGCATTCAAACGTGTTTTATTTACCAACGCATAAAAAATACTTCCACTTGCCGCCGTTTAATGTAATGAAATTCCTTCAATGTTTGGAGCGTATATGTGATAAATGCATTTTATTGGTATTTTTTTTACATTTAAAATGTGTATTTTATTACTTTGAAATAAGGCAGATTTTTATGGGTGTAAAAAATATTCGTACTGATCAATAAATCGATACATTGAAATAGGATAACAGCTTTTGCACGATCCAATAGGTAAAAAATGATTTTGTAAATACATCCAAGAACCATAAACGTCTGTGAAATGCTAATGCTGTTGGTATGTCTTCAACTTTTTCTTTTACCAAATACAATTTAGTTCCGAATGCCGCATTGTAGCAGTAGTTGTCAACATCCATCTGTAAATTTCCACGTTATACGCGTCAATAAAAAAATTCATTGCGTTCAGAAACAATATACAGAATAGTGCAAAAAAAAAGGATGAAGAATTGTATCGATTGCACAATTTACCGTCGTTCGGTCATAATATATTTCTCGGTCGATTTTGTTCAATGCACCGCATACCGAATTGTAGTTATCTGACACAAATACAAACTTTTCGTTCATATAATACTCCAAAACGTTGGCAGCTTGGATAATGGTCCGCTGGACTCTCAGCAAACTTGAGGTGAAAATGGTATCGATCCAGACATGAATCCAGGATGAAATTGAAAATGAAAGAAAAATACATGTAAATGAGTTAATTGCAGTTTGAAAATCAGCTGAAACCATGTGGCCAATTTCATTGTTGTTTCGTGTGTTTTAATTAAGTATGGTTTTGAATCTATTATCTCCATGATTGTGCAAATTAAAATGTACAGTTGTACACATAAGCGAATTCTGCTTTAAATACAATATTTCGTTTGTATTTTGGATCTTTGATCAAAAGAACAATTAAATGAGTAGAACAAATGAATCCAATTAGCACATAATTAATACTTACAATGGTGGATGTCGTACTAAAATCAATAGCAAATCCACAAGCAATGCGGGTAAAATTTGAAACAGAACTATGCAAATATAGTTATAAAATCGATTTTTCTTGAAACTTCCGCCTGGATGCCAAAGTGCTAGATTATACGGAACCTTGGCGTTGTTGGGTTTCACTAAAATGAAAAAATTATATATATTTCTCATGGTCAGAATTAAAATAACGGTGTATGTATTTGTTCAATTGAATAAGACAATGAAAACCAAACAACACACGCGGTGTTGCATTTTAAATGAATTAAAATTACTGCATGAAATGAGAATTCAAATGAAATTCCACATGCTCAAGTGAGGGACACACTGTTGAGAATATAATAAGAACCATCAAAAAAGGAGGATAACGAATATACATATTACACAATACTCGATCGATTTGAATGTAAATTAAATTGGTTGCAATAATTAAAATCCAATTGATTGAAATGGAAAAATGTGCACTGCTTTTTTGCTACCACAATTCAGCCACTATAAACACACTCTCTCACACACACGTACTCGCATATATATTGATAATGCCAATCAAATTAGCATAGTCACATAAATATAATGAAAACTTTATGTCACAAAAACATGAGACCCATTCGGAATTACATTAAATTTTGTAAATGAAAAAAGTAGAAAATGTTACGAGAATGACCCTTGATATATAGTCGCAATACTACAAAGTACAAAACTCGAAATTCATTGCGCATACCTAAAAACTCAACATATTGTTCCCAAGTCAATGGATTCTCTTCGGTTATATTAAAATAGATTGGTTCTTCGAATTGTTTGGCTGTCTGCAATGTGTTTTCTTCGGTTTTACTTTCATTTTGTTCATCAAATCTAGTTCGAAATTAAATAAAGCGTGAAATAAACAGTAATTTTGTGTGGTTGACCACATTTAAAACTTTACCAATGACATTGAGATAATGACGACATTCAGACACTTACCTTTTTTGTTGTCGTTTACCACATTCGAAGGCCAATACAATAATACCATTTGCTACAGTAATAATATTTGGTTTAGTACATTAATTTGCTACAAAACAACATTTGCTTTTGATTTGCAGCAATTTAACATATTTTATCGTGATTTGTTGGTGGAACATTTTACACTTACCGCATATGTCAGCCGGCATAACGTTACATGGCAAATTATGTTGACAAAGCATTGAACTAAAAGTTTACACCGTTGTTAGTTTTGCAATGGTTTGATCGAAATTTATTTTGTTATATTTACCGCAACACCCCGCTTCCGCTTGCCAAGCACCAACCATTTATTCCATGAATACCCTCTGTATAACCGATGAGTGGCTCTTTCCACGCACTTATAACTGGAAATGTTTTCAATGATGTTTCAATTGATTCTCATACCAAATTGATTTTGATTTTGAAATATGGATTCGTCTCGAATATCGATTATACTTTCTTCAATTCAAGTGATGGGAAAACTGAAAAAATATAAATGTGCGCTTACCGATTGGTGGTCGTGCGATTGCTGTTGGTAGTTTGTCCGAATAGTTATAAACCAATTGTTCGATAATGCTTTTTGTGTATCCATATGTATTCGGATACTGACCCAGCAATCTAAAATCAGATGCACAAAAATCAATAAGTCATAAATTCTCTACATTAAACATATGCGTTAAAATACTTTGGAGTTAGAATATCTAAAATGTCTTCGTCAACGTTTTCAATGATTCTATTCAACAATTCCGGACATATGGGTGATTTGTATGGCTTTTCTTCGAGTTTCATATCATGTACTTGTGAAAAAGCCGTTGAAACAAGAACGAACGCCTAAAATTTGGAGAAAATAAAATGACGATACTTGTTTGCTCTTTTTTTTTAAATCGGAAGTTGAATTTCTCACTCACAAGCAATCTTTTGAATTCGGTGGCAAAATCGAGAACATTTTTCGAACCATCTACATTTGTTTTGTATGCTTCAATTAATCGTCGATCAAAACGTACATCCGCTGCACTGTGCACAATTACTGATACCCTTTCGGTGATTAGTTTCCGATTGGATTCGGACATTCCAAGATTTGGTTCACAAATATCCCCTTCAATAATGTGAATTTTATCTAGTGCACTTGGATTTGTATTTTTTAAATGGCTAAATGCAACATGACTTTTATACTCATTTTTTCGTTGTTCAAATGTCATATTCTTTTTCGATCGTATTACTATGTAAATGGTGTCGATGTCCGGACAATCCCGAAGCAATTTTATTACCAAACATTTTCCAATAAATCCAGTCGCGCCCGTCACAAACACACTTTTATTACTAAACCACTTTGCAATTTCGCTCATTTTTGCGTAATTCTGTGTAAAATTTGTGTATTTCTAGCTTTAAGCAGTTCGAAAACTTTTTTTTGAACCTTGTATTTTGAACAACTTGTTATGCGAATTTTTGCCAAGCACATTCACAATTCACATTCCACCTAAAAGTAATATCTATTTTAAGATACACAATATATCTCAATAACTGCGAATATACCACTAAACATAAGCACGACGATAGCACCGTCTCCTTCAATATACTTATATTCACCAGAAATTTTCAGCAACAATTACGCGATTAATCGAGCGTTCACTATTTATAGTAAAATTTGTCGTCGGTAAATGTTGGGAGTGAAAGAAAAACGCATTTGCATATCATTAACTTATAAAACACATGAGTATAAGCAATTTAAAAGCCAATTGTATTAGTAACAAAGTGTATTTAAAAACTTATTGAAAGAACTTCGACGAGGTCGTGTTTCGTTGAAATGGTAAACGGACAAAATTACTTTTGATTTTTTTCCACCATATCTACTTGGAATTTAAAAAAAAAGTATCAATGCTTTATAATGTGTATAAATACATGCGGTTTTTGGGCTACTTGCCGACCAGTGACCACTTTATTGAAATTTTTGTTAGTATAATTTGTGCGGAAAACTATTCACAATGGAACCAAACACCATCGATAGCGATAAAGAAAGAAGTATAATAATCCAGAGTTTATATATGTACGTATTTTATATACGACACCGGTTTACCAAACGGTAACATGATTGCGCGCGATTTAAATGAACTGGATAATTGTTCAATTAATTCCTTACACTGGATACATTACTTACCTATTTACGGTATATCTTCTCTTCGGGTCGAATGCATTTCAATTACTTGTTATTGTTGAACACAATTACTTTCCTATGTGCAGCAATATGCACATTATCATCGTCGAACAAATAGTACATACCAGAATGAACGCGACAAATCCAGTTTTGACAATTGTCATATCATTTTTAAATGCATTTGATTTGGTTGAGCAACAGCTAGACATTTTGTTGGATCAATTAGAATTGATAATAATCAATCGTAATAATGATTTTTCAATTTTTTTCGCGTTAGATTGAGCCAAAAGTCATGAATTCAGTTCAGATATTTACATTTTCTGTATTAATTCCGGTTAAATACTTCCTGGTACGAAATAAAAATCATATTTTAGAAATAATTTTATATATATATATACGTATATTGTCGTTTATTGGTTGTGTCACCATGTTTATGAACATCAACATTTAATAAAGCCAATTTTTCAACATGTTATTAATGACTAGACAAAAATACCCAGTAAATCGAAATTTTATAAATGACTTGTCATGACTTACCATATCAAAAAGGTTGTTGTAAATATTGATGTAAGTGTTAAATTTATGTGGGAAAGTAGCAAAAACGATTACCACATCCGTTTTGTATTAAAACTGCATAATCATACACAAAAGCGAAAAATATTTGACTCTTCATTGACATTCTGGCGTATTAATAAGAATTCATTTGAACTATTCATCATTCTATTAATTTATGCATAATTTGTATTGATAAACATCTAATTTCTATTCGTGACAAATTACCAAATAGATTATTTATTTGTGCAGGGATATGTACAAAATAAATTCAATTAAGGAAAAGGTCTTCAATAAATTAACCCCGAATTGCATTCTTTTGAATCTTCAAAGAAGCCATAAGAAAACCATAGATTCATTGCCTAAAACGATAAAAAATAAAACTCACATATAGTTGGCGCTACATTCTATGTAATAACGTATTACTAATAAGCGTATACTTTCCACTTGGTCCGTTGCAACGGAAAACAAGTTTGCATAGAATGCAGCGCCAACTATATGTGAGTTTTATTTTTTATCGTTTTAGGCAGTAATTTTATCGCTTCCTTACCATAGAATTAGCACGGAATCTTTACAGATTTGGTTTTATGCATATTTTCCATGATACAGGTTACGAATGATTGATACTTAATAAGCAGACATCATAGTACTACATGAAAAGCATCCAAAAAACAACAACGACTAATGATATCATGGTAGCATTTAAGGTATGCAAATGCATTTTACATGATTTTTCTATCGATAATCGCAGCTAATCTTTGCCATCCTTCGCTTGATTTATGGGCCATTGATGTTTTCGATTTACGAGACGTGCGTTCAATGTACAACAGTGTGCAAGTGAATGTAATGTTTTAACAGTGAAACGAACATTTCCGCATCATCAACTCTCACACATATTGCTAACAAAAAACCGACGTAGACGACGTCGACTTTTCCATCCATTCATTCAAAAGCGGTTACACTCTCGCATAGACTATGTCGGAAAGCTTTGCACATAGCTTAGCTGCAGGTAGCACATCGGCACAATATAAATTAAAAGTGCATCGTTCTGTCGAGTTTGTATAGTTAACTGCACTCACCGTTAAACACATACAATGGAATCATCATTCAAGTGATTTCAAGCACCGGGTCTTTTTCATTCCCTCTTCGAATGTGTGTGTACTACCTATTCGCATGATTGCAGCCGTCGACTGCGGCTAAAACTCATATATTGTCGTGTCTATTCTTACGTCGTGTGTGTGTGTGTGCATAGGAACCTCAAACAAAGAAAACAGTTTTCACTATGGAAGCACTTGAATTGATTGATGTCACTTTTTCTGTTCAAACATTACTTTCAACACGAATGATGCGTGCTTAAGTTTAAATGCTTTCCAGGGCGCTGGAACTCTGATCAAAACAACCATATATATCGAAACACACTTCATTTTGAACATTGATTTATTTCTGTAAATACAAAATATTTTCTGTCGAATTTAAAATTCAACTAACGCATTGAGCGTAAATATTTCACTCGTTTACAATTACAGTACGTTCTGTACATATGAGAAAAAAATCAGAAACACATTATCTTATCAAGCTATAAAGCAGACAATATATTGAGCTGAATATTCATTTGAAATGAAACGAAATAGCACGCTATTTTTGATAAAACAATAGAGGTGATTGTTGTGAATATAAAACACTTACGTTGGTACGTTCTATTTCGTTTCATTTCAAATGAATATTCAGCTCAATATTTTGTCTGCTATAAAGTGATAAGAAAATTTAATATCGATTACATTACGTTTTTTCGTTATTTGTGTTTTTTTTCAGGACAATTATTGTGAGAATGTTGTTTTCTCATAACTTTGCTAGCACAAATGCATAACAATGTGATTAAAATAGTGACTATTGCTATAAAAATCATAAATATGAAAGCGATAACATCGTATGAATTTCCGACGATAAATCCAAGTTGAAGAACAGGCGATTTCAAGTGATCGCAATCTGGATTCCGAAGTAACCATTCGATCCACCAGACAGCTCGATCTAACGGTTTCTCTTTTTGATCTCTGAATTTGGCCGACCATTTCAAAGCGTTTATCGAATATGATGGATCTTCAAGTACTTTATGAAGAGTCTTTTTTAATTCAGCTTTTGAAAGTGAATAATAATCAACACCTTCAGATATCCCTTGTCGTTTTGTTTTCACCAAATTCTAAAATAGTGTTATGATTAGAGTTGTGTAGAATACAATGTAGAAATCAACAAAAACATACTTGTTTCTGATCGAATCCCAGTGGCATTATAATCATTGGAACGCCTCGCCAAAGGGCTTCTTGGGTTGTTAACAAACCGCCATGAAAGAAAATCGCTTTTGTTTTAGAATCAGCCAAAATATTTGAGATGGGCAACCACGGCCGAATTAAAACATTTTTCGGTAAATCTGATGCAGGAAGATTGCTCTCAAATTTCCACAGAAAATGATAATCCGGAAATTCTCGAAAAACTTCCAAGAAAAGTTTTTGTTTCGCTTCCGGCAGAAACTCACTTCGGAAGTTAGTTCCGAGTGAGAATATAACTATCCCTTTATTTGACGAATCAACGAATGCTTTCAAATCCTAAAACAGACAAACATTTAATTTATCAGCAATTGTTAACTGTTTCGTTATCACAAACGCGTTGAGAATTCATAAAGACATAAAAATTACATTTGGTATCGGTTTTGGATCTTTGATATGTAGGCCAGCGACTGCAAAATATAAAGTCCTCAAACATCATCACAAAATAAAATATAATTCATTTGATGGCAAATTACCTGGAATTATATTTTCTGAAAGTGGTGCTGGATAATCCAAGGCCGGATTTGTATTAACAAATGCAAGTGCCGTTCTTTTCTCCAATTCACTGACTGATGGAATATTGGTGCCAAAACCTTTTTGGGCATAAGTGTCAATTGCCGGAATAAAAAATTGCTGTCGATATCTGATGTGGAGAATGGAAGATCCACGATTTAAAATTATCTATATTTCGATGTTGATGCAGTTTTCAAGATTTAAAACAGTTACTTACATATTTTCCAGGCCATAAATTAGAAAATTCTTGACTCTTTCCAAAAAGTTCATATTTTCATCCGACAAAAGTGCATTGTGTGGAATATATGCAGTATATTGGTGTCCCCCCATCATCATTGGCATAAAAGATGGATTGCTGTATCCGGTGACACCCAACAGTGGTGGATTTTTGAATTTATGGGCAAATGGTAAATGACATGGACCGCAGGTGTAATCATGAATAATTAGGTCGAATTTGAAATTGTCCGGATAGTTGAGCAATGTTTTAAAACCATTTGTTTGGACTTGTGCTATATAAAAAAATGTGTTATATACATTTTATGTAAACTGATTGATGTAATACCTTCACAAATGCCGGTGCAAACTTTAAGCATAGTCAAAGCATCATCAATTAAATTAGTTGGGCCTGGCGCCGAAAGCATATCTTTTATAAATTGCCTGCTATCATCGCTATACTGATTTTCGATTAAAATGTAGTGTATTCCAGGCGGTGGATTTTTTTCAATATCTGGTGAAATCACAGTAATATTATGTCCATGTCCGACCAATTCACTGGTTATTGCTCCAATCCTGTTGTATAAGAATCAAAAATCAAAAATCAATACCCATTTTGCACACAAAAGAGCTCAAATAAACATACCAAAAATGATGACTTGGTGATGATAATGTGGCCAGAAACAGTATGTTTGCTCCATTCACAAATAAAATATTGCAAACAATGAAAAAAGCAAGTCGAATCAACATTTTAACGAGATAAAAGCACCTGTTCAAATGATTTCCTCCTCAAACCTCCAACAATCCTTTATAAAGTGAAAGAAACTTTTTAAACATACAGAATCACAACTGATTGAACATTGAAAACTGTAAATCATTCTTGATAAGAATAAATGACATTGATTTCAAATAGCCGACAATAACTTATCAGTATACATTCAAAATTATTCTAGTCACAGTGACAAACATTTTTTAGCTGTTATCTGACACAAATGAAATCCTATTTCGTATCAAGATGTATTATATAACCGAATGATCACATAATTATCACATTGTTGTAACGAATTTGATTTTCTTGGATTTTCAATAACGTTTATAATTGTATGGAGATTAGAGTGGCCGCGAAAACAACTTTTATGAAATTCAACTTGATTCGCATTGTGGATCTTTTCTATTTGTTGTGAATACTACGTGTGCAAAGTTTCACGATGATATCTCCACGTTAAGTCGAGCCCAATTCCTCTATCGGTCATTATGTGAATTTCTTAAAAAAAACACTTTTGATTAATTTAAATACAACTTCAATCAACCACATCGACTCAAAATGAATTGAGGTCATAATTTTCGACTATAAACTAACGACTGGAGAATTTTCAAGTGATGTGGATGAAAATAAAATACATTTTCAGGCAAAATTTTCGACCAAAAATGAAGGTTTTGTACCAAAGATTTGACAAACCTTCACAAATTAATCTCATTTGAAGCTAGAATACTTTCAGAGCAAAATTAATGTGATTCCACTTTGGTATACACCCATTTGAAAGCATCGTATAGCTTGAACACTGTCATTAGCATAGCAAATTGTGAGCAAAGAACGTGGGGCCAAAATATGAATATGGATCATGGTATATCCGCACTAAAAGTCACTTATATGTCTATTTAAACGACTGAATTCGGTCAGTTTTGATCTCATGAACAGCATCCATGCTGATTGAGTGCGGTCTAGCCTGATTTGCGCATGGTTATACTGGCCGATGTAAAGGAATTTTTTCAACTCGCAATATAAAATGAATCATTTTATAAAGAACCAAAATTGCCATTCAATTATTTTCAAATCATAATTTTTTGCTGGAATCGATAAGAATTCATGAGTTATCACATCTAAAGCCGTTTAATTCATATCTATATGCAATGAACCGAAATGCGTAAAAGATCGATCGGGAGTTTTTTTTTTTTTGATGACATGAGCTGGAAGTGAATCTTGAGGAGCAGGTGGACCCGACCTGGTCCAAAGTGTTCTGGGTGTTGAGCACATATGGGAGTAAGATGCCCAGCCAATTTATTTTATTTTTTCGATATTTACATCGGAAAAGCGAGAAAAATCGATTGGTAGTTTTTCAAATTGGAAAAGCGAGAAAAACCGACTGTTTGTATTACAATTTATACTTAATTCATTCTCAACATTCTAGCCATTCAAAAAAATTAAATACAGGGTGCGCCATAATAACTGTCCCTTTTATTTCTAGCCAAAAAACACAGAAATTTGAATCAAATCGAGATATAATTTTATTCGATATAAGATTGAGGTATAGAGATTATGATTCAGCCTTTGACTTTAATTCTTCCCCCCTTTTCTCGGATTACCAAACGCAAACGTTTCGAAAACGATTGACACGCGGCACGCACCATATAAATGGGAATTTCGTTCCAAATTTTTATTATTTTCTTTTTGAATGCATCCAAAGTGGTTCGTTTCGAAATTTTCAGATCATTGAGCTTCGACGACATGTATCCCCAAGCAAAAAAATCGAGCGGGTTCAAGTCAGGAGACGATGGCGGCCATGAGTCTCTGTCAATGAAATCAGGCAAATTCGTGCGTAGCCATTGTTGTGTCGTATTTGCACGATGTGCGGGTGCACCATCTTGTTGAAATACCCATGGTTCACCTCTGAATAGTCTTTGAGACTGTGGCAATAAGTTTTTACGCAATATTTCTCGAATATATACTCTGGCATTGATTTTTACGCCTTCTTCGACGAAAACCAGTGGAAATTTGTGGTCGGCCGACATGGCGGCTCAAACCATCAATTGTGGAACATTTTGAAATCGTTCGATGGTTTTTTTATCTTCGGGAATATCAAGGATTGATGTTGCGTACACACGATCATTTTGCGAATTGAGGCTTGGCTGTAAAAGGAACAATTTTTCATCTGAAAAAACAATGTTTGAGTTTGCGTGCCGGCGCAACAACTCTTTGCATCTTTGCTTTCTGGCTTGTTTATTTTTGATTGTGAGACCATGTCGTCGACATTTTTTGAATGGATTCATATTCAGGTCTTCTGCCAAAACTCGTTGCATTGAAGTTTCACTGATTTTGTGCTCATGAGCCAACTTTCGTCCACTTCTTCGAGGTTCTCGGCGAATTTTCTCTCTCACACGTTTGATGAGATTTTTGGCACGAACAGATCTTTTTCGTCCAGTTTTCTTCAATATATCAACGCTGCCCCGTTCTTTGTATCGTTTTATTGTGCGCTTTAAAAATTTCAAGTTGATATTTTCATTTTGTAGCTGTCGAAAAATATCAATTTGTCTCAAGCCCCGTTTGTGCAAATTTAGTACCAGTTGACGTTTCACATCCATTCTTATTGCAAGCTAAACAAACACTGTACAAAAATGCGCAGTATCGTTAGAGTTAGAGTAAACACCAATAAACATAACGGTAAACGACAGAGTGAATCGCAAGACATTTGAGTATTAAAACAAACGATTGAAAAAAAGGGACAGTTATTATGGCGCACCCTGTATATTTATTTCAACATTGACAAAATAAATAGATGCAATTCATTTTAAAAATGTAGTCCTGAAAGGAATTGGATAATAAGTATTATACAGCCCTGAATACATTTACTTATTTTATGCGACGCATTAATGACAAACCAATGAAAAAGTAAACAAGCGACATGCTAAACATGCGTGTGTATGTATTGGTTCACATTCGGAATAAAGTTCTCACTCGACACACGTATTGCCTATGATTGGGAAATCTATACTGCGCAATATTATGTTTAAGCATGAATGCATATGAGTGAGAGAGACGCGCGCACGAATACACATAAGTCCATATTCGGCATTTCGCAGTCGCGTGTGGCTTGTTTACATTTTTATTTGTTTATCATCACATGCTTCTTAATAGCATTGTAGAGTGAGTAAGATGTCTATATTGTAACAAATGCAATATTGCCAACCAACAGTCAATCGGTCGGGAATTTATTGAAACGATAATACTTAACTTAACTGTATTTAAATTTATTTTAAAGTGTACCATACTCGTTTGAATAATATTTGGAGCTCACATTCGGGGCATCTGAATATTGCCATAGAATGACAAAAATAAAACTCGGTGATATTTTTTTAATTTTCTTGGTTGATAATAATTGTACCTAAAATGTACTTTACTTCGTGAAAGTTTCAAGACGATCGAATAGAAAATATGTATAACTCCCATATAAAAGTTCTAATTTCTAAAGTAAAATAATTTTTCAAAAAACCGCGAATTATGTAAAAATGAAATTTTTTAGTTATAGTCGGAATTTCTTGAAATTTAGCATGCCTTATTTTTTCCGATAGATAATAACTTCCTGAAATTTTCAAGACGATCGGATAAAAAATAAGTATGGCTCCCATACAAAAATCTCAATAACATATGTATAGAAAATATTGAGACTAAATTCAGGCGTTTATTGCGCTACATAAACAAAATAAAAAATGTCAACCTATGCACATAGGAGACTTAACGGGACTCCTACTCTAATGTCAAACACAATTTGCACAAAATTTTCCATTCGTGTTGACGTACATATTGGATTTACGAAGATTACATTTTAGGTACAATTATTGTCAGCCATAAAAATTATAAAAATATCGTTGATTTTCATTTTTGCCATTTTTGTGGGAAACCCTCGAGAATTTTGAAGGACATGCTCTGCAGAAGAACACCATCGAAATAATGACTTTATGATGATGATGTTATTTTGAAGGTACATTTTAGATACAATCAGTCATGAAATTTTTTTCTTTTGCTTATTCAACAATTACTACGGAGCTTTGACGCATTTTTTTAAATAATCAAGTAAAATTTCACTCAAGCTTCAAGATTGAATACTCAATATTTCTATGCCAAGTGGAGAAGTAATCTGCACAGTCGACTCGAATGAACGTTGTATGGTTTTCAGTGGAGACTGAACAACCTTTCAGTTAACGCACACCAACTTTGAAGGTTTTCTGGTGGAATCTCTGAATTATACTATGGTCACTTTCAAAATTTAAAAAAAAATCCATTTGTTGAAGAATTTTTGCATTTGTAAAAGAATGAAATTCAGTGTTAGTAGTAGAGAGTAATCATGTTTCTTAGTGTCATGGTATTAAATAGGATGCAAAATATGCAAGAAATTTAGTTGTTTTTCTTTTGAATTCCATACGGTTTTTCAAATTGAACGAGTATCGTGAGATATGTTGCTGTTGAACCGATAATCTGTGAATAAATGAATCAAATTAAAGTCAAAACGATAATTTTCATTTTATATTAAAGAGTTATTACACTGTAGAGTAAAGTCCAATCAAATACGAACAATCCACAAGTAGCAACAAGACTTCGATTTTGTATTTGTTGTGATAGTTGGCTCAACTGTTTAAAAAGTGATTAAAAAAACTCTGTGTATTCAGAAGTATATTAAATAAAATAAAAAAAACTTACCGACAGAGCAATTTCAACATCATTACAATTGTTAATAATATTGTGCAAGAGTTCTGAAAAATCTTTGGCCTGTTGTACATTTGAAAATGATTTAAAAGATTCAATTATAATATTTTATATTTGAGATGCATAAATCATGATTGGCTATAATGTATAGTATGTTTTTTCATATTTATTCGTGAATTATGGAGATGGACATCTCTCTAAAGATTATTTTCCACTTTTTTTTATTGAAAAAACATACTCACTTTTAGATTTTATCCATAAAAATGTACCTTTGAGGTTAATGTACTTCCAGAATAAATAATGAAGTTTGCATAAATCGAATAAAATAATTGCCAGTGGAAGTGTATCATGTACATTTCACGGAAG